CCTCTCATTTGCACTGCATCTGAGATAAAAGCACCAAAGCACACATAGCAAGGGTCACTCAGGGGGTTGCCTGCGTGTTTATAGTAGCCTCAGCAATACGAGATAGAAGTTTCCCTGGAGCTCCTGTGTACTACATATTTTATATAATTTGGGCCACTGTATACTATCACCTATATATTTTGAGTCATAGATTTGTACAGCACGGAAACAGACTGTTCAGTCCAACTTGTCCATAAATCTAATCCCATTTACCAGCATTTGGCCCATATCCCTCTATACCCTTTCTATTCACATACCCATCCAGATGTCTTTTAAATGTTGTATTTGTACCAGTCTCCACCACTTCCTCTGGCAGCTCATTCTGTACATGCACCACCCTCTGTGTGAAAAAGTTGTCCCTTAGGTCTCTTTTAAATCTTTCCCCTCTCACCTTAAACCTATGCTCTCTCGTTTTGGACTCCCCCAAAATGGGGTAAAGACCTTGCCTATTTACCCTATCCATGCCCCTCATGATTTCATAAACTTCCTTCAGGTCACCCCTCATCCTCCAATGCTCCAGGGGAAAATAGCCCCAGTCTGTTCAGCGTATACTGGAGATTTGGCTGTCACCTTGTCATTATTTTATTCTCCACGGGATGTGGGCATTACTGGCTGTAGGTCAATATTTCTTGCCCATTCCTAATTGTCCTTGAGAATGTGATGGTGAGTGATCTTGACCCACAGGAGTCCAAGTAGTGTAGGAACACCCACAGCCCTGATAAGAAGGGAGCTCCAGGATTTGATGCTGGCAGTAAAGCAGCAGGTCGGTTTACTGCTCATGCTTCCACCCTGAAGAAACACCAATTCGAAACGGCCCGAATTGTAAGGGGCCACCTGCAGCAATAACCCACTGGGGGTGGCAGAAACAGGCTGAGGATTGATCTGCCAGCCTTCAGTGGTTAGAAACTCCTGGCATGAGTGCCACCGATGCTCAGTGGCAGCAGTGTGTACCATCTACAAGATGCACTGCAGAAATTCACCGAGGCTCCTTCGACAGCACCATCCAAACCCATACTTCCGTCTAAAAGTTCAAGGGCGGCAGATACATGGGAACACCACTAAAATAACTCCACAGGGGCCAGTTTCCCATCACAAAGTCATGGTGGTACAGTGGCTCAGTGGTTAGCACTACTGCCTCACAGCACCAGGGACCTGGGTTCAATTCCACCCTTGGGTGATTGTTTGTGTGGAGTTTGCATATTCTGTGTGGGTTTCCTCCCATAGTCTAAAGATGTGGATTGGCTATTCTAAATTGCCCATAGGTGGGTTACAGGGGGTTGGGTCTGGGTGGGATGCTCTGAGGTTCGGTGTGGACTCTTTGGGCTGAAAGGCCAGTTTTCCGCACTGTAGGGATTCTACGAAAGTCACCCATTATTTACACAAAAACAGCCCTTGAATTTAGTGCTTTCTCTTCAGAGTCAGATCTTAGAGTGGCAGTCTCTTTGGCTCTCCTCTTTTTATCTGTCAGCCAGGGCTCCCTGATTGGATTAGATTAGCAGCCCCAATCAGGGAACTCATATTCTATGAGGTGCGGCCAGCTGACCTTGTTACAATCACTACAGCCACGAACTGCCGGTTCCCCTCCAAACTCCGCACCGTCCTTACCTGGAAATATATTGCTGTTCTTTCAGCGTCGCTGGGTCAAAATCTTGGAACTCCAGGCACCATCGCCACCACCATCCTCTCAAAGGCATTTAGAAATGAGTTGTCTCCCTAGCCAGTGGTTCCCGTATCCTGTGAGCGAGAAAGAAAATATTTGATGGGTTGGCACTTCTGTCAGATCCAGCAGCTCCATAGTTTAGTCTTGGTTACTGCTGGGACAGAATGCAATCCCAAGAAAATTGGCACTGGTGACTGGAATGAGGTAGGCCGAAGGCTTTTAGGAAATGTTTGAACAGACTAGGCAGGGACAGTGTGGCGTGAAAGAAAGAAGGAGGGAAGACTTTGGAAGTCAGGGAGAAAGAAAGAAAGGGTGGGGGACAGATGTTGGAGGTCAAGGAGAAAAAAAAGAGTGCGGAGAGGGAGATTTTGGAGGTCAGACCCCCAGAAGGACAAACCAGTAAAGCAAAACCCTCTAAGTTTGGAAATGAACATATCGGTGATGAGGAAATAATATTTTGAGGTGTAGAGCACGAATCAAACCAAATTCGCATCATTGACGAATTTTGCCTCTTTTTTTCCTCTGGGTAGGAGGGTGGAGCAAAGGGGAAACACGTCTTGCATGGGGAATGGTGCCCAGGACAACTCCTTGATTGATGTGCCCCACCCACCTTTTCAAAATGGTCTTTTGTGCTCAGGCTCGCCTCCCACACACAGTGCTTTATGGCAGTGAAGGCTGATAGAGACTCTTAATTGCCACTTAACTGGTTGGTTAAATACCCCAATAGACCTAAGGCCGGGTGGCCTAGTGGGCACTTCACCCAACACCCCACCTCTCACTGCCACACCCACCCTTCCCAAACCTGTTTTATGGTCAGTTATGATGAATGCACCATTTGTGATCAAGAAAGAGGTGGACCAGCTAGGTCACATGTTTTCATGCATGACCAAATTCATGACCACTTCCCTCTAGAAGGACAAGGGCAGTAGATACATGGGAACACCATCATCTGCAAGTTCCCCTCCAAGCCACTCACCATCCTGATTTGGAAATATATCACCGTTCCTTCAATATCGCTGGGTCACAATCCTGGAATTCACTCCCAAAGGGCATTGAGGGTCTACCTACAGCATGTGGACTGCAGCGGTTCAAGAAGGCAGCTCACCCCCACCTTCTCAAGGGCAATTAAGGATTGACAATAAATGCTGGCCCAGCCGGTCATGTCCCGTCCCATGGGTAAATAAAAAAAGAGCTAGTGTAGACATGATGGACCAAATGGCCTCCTTCTGCATTATAACAATTCTGTGATTCAGACTTAACTGCCCTTAGAGTGATTAGTGATCTCCCAGCCAACAGTGCTGAGGCCCCATGAATAAATCAATCATTATATATAATTCTATAAGGTCAGCTAACTTATTCTATTTAATAGTCTATTTGGACTTACTGTTGCCCTTGCAAATGATCCCATTTTGGAGTAAGCTCCAGTAAACCCATTGGAAAATGTAAGTGAGTATTTCCATATATATGTTTGGTTTTAGTCTGTCACTGTGGATCCATATCAATGATATTGATCAACAATAACTGAATTAAAGATTGGATGATTGATGCAAAAGGCACCTAATGTATTAGGCTAGCTTTATTTATTTTAAATGCAAACAAAGCACTCGAGTTTATTTCCATAGCAGCAATGTCATCCAGAAACTATGATTAACTATTGTTGAATGCCTTGTTTAGACCACATTTGGAATATTGTGCTGTTCTGGGATGGCCTTCATTGTGTCAACATCTACAGCAGCATTCCCAATTATTTTTCCCACACTGCGACCCCCCTCCCTTTTGAAAATTATTGTGACCCCCCACCCGCCTCCTCAGTGAAAGTAGTTTAGGGAGCCTGTGAGAGGCAGAGGGGTCTGCTAAAGTGGGGACATGGCTGTTATAATATTGTTAGAAATCCTTGAAGGCTTTTGATGCCTCATCGCTCAGGATCCCAAAATTTCAGCTTGTGACCCCACTCAGGGTCACCACCCACAATCTGGGAACCCCTGATGTGGAGGCAGTGCAGGAGGAGATCTACCAGAACCAAAAGGTTATAATTATTAGGAAATACTGATAATCAGCATCCATTTGCATAGTGCATTTTGTCATAGTTCAATAATCAATTATTTCAATCAGAATTAATCTGATCAGTCTAAACTCTTGACTGTAACCTGATTAGAATTCATAGAATTATAGAATTATAGAATCACAGAACCATACAGTGGCCCATCAAGTCTGCACCACCAAAAGGGGGCGCTAATGGTCTAGTGGTATTATCACCAGAGACCAGGTAATGTTCTGGGGACCTGGGTTCAAATCCTGCAATGGTAGATGGTGAAATTTGGATTCAGTAAAAAAAAGTCTGGAACTAAGAGTATAATGGACAACTGTGAAACCATTGCCAGTGTTTGGGGAAAAACCCATCTGGTTTACTCATGCCCTCAAGGGAAAGAAACTGCTATCTTTACCTGGTCTGGCCTACTTGTGACTCCAGACCCATAGCAATGTGGTTGATTCTTAACTGGGCAATAAATACTAGCCTGGCCAGTGATGCCCTCATCCCACAAATAAATAAAAAAAACACTACAATCTACATTAGTGCCATGTGCCTGCATTAGGTCTGTGGACTTGAATGTTATAACAGTTCAAATACTCATCCATCTCAACTACCCTCCCAGGCAGTACACTTCAGATCCCCCCCTACCTTCCTGTAAAGGTTTAAGAGGGGAGATATTTCCACTTAGGGGTTGAAAATTTTAAAAATAAGGCAGTCACCAATAAATCTGAACAAAAACCAAAAGAACTGTGGATGCTGTAAATCAGGAACACAAACAGAAGCTGCTGGAAAAGCTCAGCAGGTCTAGCAGCATCTATGAAGGAGAAAACAGAGTTAACATTTCAGGTCCAGTCACCCTTCCTCAGAACAAATCTGCTCAAGGATATAGGACAAACTGCTTTTAGATGGGAAAGTTGTTAGAATATAAAGCTGGCTATCACGGGGAGAATAATTGGATTGAAGAACAAAGCGAATAAGTGCAGAGGGAGAACAGATTAATGCTCGGTTCAATGATGTGAGGTGGCAGGATGCTTGTTTGGAGCTTAAACCAATTGGGTTAGGGGATCTATTTTGCCTAGTACGTTTTGCATCATCCAATTTAATCTTCCTGAGGTGCAAATGAACAATTAACCCCCCGTGTTCCTGTGTGGTTTTTTTTCTGTACTATTGTATTTATGTCTTTGAAATGTTCTGAGTTATTCACTGCCCAGTAATGCTCTCTATCAAGGTAGGAATTTGCATTATCATTTTCCTTTTCTTCAACTTCAGGTTGGTCAATCCTCCTTGGCAGAAGGACCTCATTGTTCAGGGGAGTGTTTTGCCTTCATTCCAATCTGATTGGAGGAGGTTCCTGTAAAGCAAGATGGTAATCGCAGACTCAGAAGGATAATACTGGGCTTCAATGCAATTAGTTGGATCTTTGCGGTGGTAAATGGATCCTCTGGGTCGTACCAGTCCAGTCGCTAGAGGTTAAGATCGACGTTGATTCCCAGCCTGTGACCTAGGCTGTTTTTTCACTTCCGGAAGATCGTATGCTCACTCTGGGATCATAAAACAATGTTCAGCTCCAGTGGAATACCATGGCTGTCTTTTGTCCTTGCCCCGACTTTGAATCTAAATGTCCTGCTTTGGATAACGACCCTTGCAGTGCGGTCTGGCCTCCTCAGTTGCCAGGAAAACTACCCCATCGTCAACACCAACTACGGGAAGCTGAGAGGGGTGAGAATGCCACTTCCCAATGAGATCCTGGGACCAGTGGACCAGTACCTTGGAATACCGTACGCCTCAGCTCCGACGGGTGAGAGGCGCTTCCAGCACCCAGAGTCCCCGTCCTCCTGGACTGGCGTCAGGAACGCTACGCACTTCGCCCCGGTTTGCCCCCAGAACATTCACGGGATTTTGCCCGACATGATGTTGCCTGTCTGGTTTACCTCCAATCTGGATATCGTGGCCACTTACATTCAAGATCAGAGCGAAGACTGCCTCTACCTGAATGTCTACGTACCTACTGAAGATGGTAAGTTGCTGAAGTTTTAGACAAAGGGAGGAAACTGGGGCAACAGCCAAGGGAGAGGAAGTCAACATTGATGGGATTGAGCCTGCCCTCTTGCCCCTCAGTGACAATGTGTGTTGACCTTCAGATCCTGTAGGTATTCTGAGGCGGTCCTTGTGCTTAAGTTTCACAGTAGGAGAAAGCTTTGTTGGAATCAGATTTAACAGGAGCTAGTTAGACTGTAAGGTTTCATTTCTAGAAAGAGAGCAATGGATAAAGTAAATCCAAGCAACCTCGGCACAAATACATTACTTGAGATGGTAGGAATGCACAATTTTAATGATGAGGTACAATTAGTTCTACACAAGAAGCAAACAGTCAGAATAAAAGATGAATGTTACTCCCAATCCTTTGGAGAGCATGTGACCCACTTGCATAAAATGTCTGGTTTAATTTATTCTGATTCTGCATTGCTATTCCTTCCTTCCTTCCCTTCAGGGTGTTATTTCTAGACGTCAAATTCATAAAGCCATTCAGTAGGCGTCTCCTCACTCAATAAATGGCACTGTAACATTAATGATCTTTGTATGGTCCTCTGTCTCCCCCACCGTCCAGCACCCCAATTCCTTAAGCACTTCGCAGCAAGCATTGTTTCTGGCAAGCTGCCTTAAGTCAGATTAAAAAGCTGCTCCCTCAGATATATCAGCCCTGCTCACTTCCCCCTTCCCATGTGCCAAAACCATAGAATCATAGAATCCCTACAGTGTGGAAACTACGGCGATGAGAACTAAAGTATTGCAGATGCTGGCAATCTGAAAAAAGGAACAGAAAGTAGGAGAAATCCAATGCGTTTGGTGGCATCTGTGGAGGGAGGACCAGAGTAAAACTTCAAGGTGAATGGGACTTTTCTTCAGAGCCTTGTTCCTCTGCCTCTTCGCCACTTAACATACTTAACATTCCTTAACATACCCCTCCCTCCCCACATCCTTCTTCACTCCAGAATTATGTCTGACTGCCCCTCCCCAGAGCTGCTGATGCCATGTGCTTCAATTCCCTGCGTTCCTCTCCAAACAACCCCCACACCCCATTACCCCCGCCGCTCCCTAAAATCTTCCTCAAATCTTCGTGCTACTTTTCCTCAATCTAATGGGGTGGTATGGTGACTCAATGGTTAGCACTGCTGTCACGTAGGACCGGGGTTCGATTCCACCCTCGGGTGACTGTCTGTGTGGAGTTTGCACATTCTCCAGGTGCTCTGGTTTCTTCCAGGTGCTCCAGTTTCCTCCCACAGTCCAAAGATGTGCAGGCTAGGAGGATTAGCCATGGGAAAATGCAGGGATGGGTTGGGTCTGGGTGGGATGGTCTTCAGAGGGTCGGTGTGGACTCAATGGGCTGAATGGCCTGCTTCCACACTATAGGGATTCTATGAACTTCATGGCTTAATGATCCAATGCCATTTCCTTTCACTTCAAAACCTTCGATCACTTTGTCAGCTCCCTTCACAAGTGAGCACCTCCTTTCGATGGATCTGCTAACATGGTGAGATGACAAGGGTGTAGGGGAATGGTGAGAGAGGGGTGTGTGTATATGTAAGATAGATTATAAATGCCAGCACAGATCAATGAGACAAAGCCTGTCACCTTGAATTAACTCCATTTGGCTTTAAGCCTCCTGTATCAAGTTAAACATCTCCTTAACATATCCTACAAACATACTTTCCTTCTGTTTGCCTGCTCACAGACTGGGCTAGACACTCTTTCTCTAATCAAGATGTTAAATAGGATTGACACAGTAAATGCAGAACGGATGTTTCCCCATTGTGGGGCAATCTAGAATGAGGGGTCGTAGGCTTAGGATAAAGGCTAGCAGATTTAACACAGAGATGAGGGGAACTTACTTCTCTGAAAGAGTTGTGAATCTGTGGAATTCACCACCCCAGATTGCAGTGGATGTTTGACAGGAATACATTTAAGGAGGAGATAGACAGCTTTTTAATTTGTAACAGGTTGAAGGGTTATGGCGGGCAGGCAGGAGAGTGGATTTGAGGCTGAGGTGAAATCAGCCATGATTGTGTTAAATGGTGGAGCAGGCTCGATGGGCTGAATGGCCTACTCCTATCCCTTGTTCCTATATTCACCCTCCACAGCTCCGCGGGAAGGAATTATCAGTCATCATTTAAATGGAGAGCATAGAAATAGGCCATTTGGCCCCTTGAATCGCTGACCTGATCTGACATAGCCTTCACTCCAGTTTCCTGCCTATGACCCCTCCTTTTCCCCCCACACAAAAAAAGTCAGATAAATGACCTGAGGAAGCCAGAAATAAGCTCCTTGCAACAAAAATGATTAAAAATACAAAAAAAGGTTATAATTTCAAACAGGTCAAAAATTTCACTCAATGTTTCAAGAGTCTAGAATAGAAACACAATTAATAGCCACAGCTAACCTAATAATCTGCTGAGAATTAATGCAGTGGCCTGATTGAATCTTAGAGCGATGCTAGTGGGTGCTGGGTCTGAAGTTGTTGCAAATTGTCATCATCGCAATTATAATGGCATTTTGGAACTGTAACTGCTACTTTTAATTGAGTATATTGCTCTGTTTAATCTGTCCAATCATATTTGAAAAGCTGTATCAGATGATTTATCATATTTGCTGTTGTTATTTTTCCAAATCAAAAAGGCCCAACACTCTGGTTTGACTTGTTAGCTATTTTTCCTCCAATCAGTTTGTTCAGGGGTGTTATGACACACATCAGGATGGTCTCACCTTCTGGTCTCACTGTGCCACAAGAAACCAGTGCCTGCTTTCCATTGTGGAACACAATGGCAAAAATGTTCCCAAGTTAGCAACAACTTCTGCTTCAGCAAGCAAATGTGAGAAAACACCTTGGCAAGAAGATAGCTCTTGTCTCTTGAGTAAGATTTCCTGCATTTTAAGCAGCCTCACATGATGGTCCAGCACTGGCTCAGCAGGTAGAGCTTCCTGACTTCAGAGTCAGGCAGTCAGAGGTTCAAATCTCCATGTGGGATCTGGGCTGGTAATCCTATATCAAGGGTGGGTCACACTTTCAGAGGAGATGCTAAAGCAAGGCTCTATCTGTCTCAAAGGTGGATATAACAGAATCCTATAGCCACTATGGGAAGCAGAACAGTGTTCTTCTCTCAGTTAACAAGGTGTAGAGTTGGATGAACACAGCATCAGAGGAGCAGGAAGGCTGACGTTTCAGGCCTAGACCCTTCTTTCTCCCTGTCAAGCCTCTTCTTCTCTCAGTGTTCTGTCAATGTTTACCCTGAACCATGATCATCACAAATAGATGACCTGATGATTTTGTTTGTGGGAGCTTGGTGGGTAAAAATTGGTTGATTAATTTCTTACATTACAACTGCAAATGTGCTTCTAAAAATCCCTACTTTATTGAATGTAAAACACTTTGTGATGAGCTGAGACCATGAAATGTGTCGGCTTTCATTACAAGAGTATCTGAGTTCGGATATATGGAATGAGCTGCCAGAGGAAGTGGTGGAGGCTGGTACAATTACAACATTTAAAAAGCATCTGGATGGGTGCATGAATAGGAAGGGCCAAATGCTGGCAAATGGGACTAGATTTATTTAGGATATCTGGTCGGCATGGACGAGTTGGACCAAAGGGTCTGTTTCCGTGCTGTACATCTCTATGACTTTAAGAGGAGATGTCTCACTCCAGTTATACAGGGCCTTGGTGAGACCACACCTGGGGTATTTCATACATTTTTGTCTCCCTACCTAAGGCAGGAGATACTTGCCATAGAGAGAGTGCAGTGGAAGTTCACTCAACTGATACTGGGAATGGCAGGACTGTCGTATGAGGGAAGATTGGTTTGACTGAAACTGGACTCGGTAGAGTTCAGAAGGAAGGAAGGAGGTCTGATTAAAATGTATAAAATTCTAACAGGTCTGGGCAGACTAGGTGCAAGAAGGATGCTCTTGATGACTGGGGAGCCTTGAATCAGAAGACACAATCTCAGGATATAAGATAGGCCACTTAGACTGAGATGAGGAGACTCAAAGGTTTGTTCACTTAAAGGTGGCAAACCTCTGGAATTCTTTACAACAGAAGGATACCAGGTTTCTGAATATATTCAGGAAGGAGACTGATACATTTTCAGACTTGAAAGGCACCTAGGGTTATGGAGAGAAAGTAGGAATATGGCATTGGGATAGAAGATCAACCATGATCAGGGCAGGCTTGAAGAGAATGATTTACTTCTGTTCCTAATTTCTATCTATGCCTTTATCATGCAACTCTTTATCCTTGGAAATGTTTACAGTGTTACAAACATAGAGTGACCAAAGGAAATCTTCCTCAGCAAAGATAAAAGTCTAACGGCAGATTTTAGATTCCAAAAACAATGTGAAATTCAACCAATTTTCCATTGCTTGTCATTGCCTACCTCCCAGACTGCCCTGCAGTGTCGCCTTCAGGATACAGCTCTGTCTGAGCCTGCAGGAAATACATCAGGTTGTTAACCAGGAGGAGGAGTGTCGGGATAGGGCAGTCTGAGGTAGTGTGGTCAAACCTCCCAGGAATGGCCTCAATCGGAGTTGGCTATCCCAATGCTGCCAAAGAGTGAGCTGAAGCTACCTCCAACCACCCCGCCAACATAAATGTTGCAATGATCATGACAACAGAATCTGTCCCAGAGGTGCATGTTGTCCCTGATAGGAGATTGGCTTGGGTCATTGTAATGAGTGCCCAGCTTCTAATCACTACATGAGCCCAGCTTTGGCCTCATCCTATTTCTCATCTAGCCGCTGCCCTTAGTGACATCTCCTGTAAAGACTGAGTCAGGCTCCTAGTTCGAGGTGAAGATTCACCGTGTTCATCATCTTGGGGGATTTGGAAGGGTTCTCATGGTTACCCTAGGTGGTGCTGATGTAAATAAACAAGGATACCTTCAGTGATTGAGTTATGGATGAATTGCTGGCTTCAGATTTCCTCCCCTTGCACTTACTCTCCGTCCCTGATACGTGCTTGCTTTCG